TGATGCTGATGCTGATGCTGCTGATGATGGTGATGACGCTGATAATGATGATGATGATGCTGATGTTGATGCTGATGGTGATGATGATGATGCGGTTGATGATTCTGGTGTTGACTTTGATGATGATGATGATGCTGCTGATGATGATGCTGATGCTGATGCTGCTGATGCTGATGCTGATGCTGCTGATAATGATGCTTACGATGCTGCTGATGATGATGCTGATGCTGCTGATGCTGCTGATGATGGTGATGATGACTAGGTTGATGATGATGGATGTTGCGGATACGGATGATGATGATGATGATGATGTTGATGTTTATGTTGTTTGTGATGATGCTGTTGCTGCTGATGATGATGCTGATGCTGCTGCTGCTGAGGATGCTTCTGTCCATGCTGATGATAATGATGATGATGATGATGCTCACGCTGATGCTGCTGCTGACGATGCCGCTGATGCTGATGATGATGACGATGATGATGATGCTGATGATGATGATGATGATGATGATGATGTTGCTTCTGATGATGCTGGTGATGCTGATGCTGCTGATGATGACGATGTTGATGATGGTGCTGATGCTCATGCTGATGATGAAACTGATGACGGTGATGTTGATGATGCTGATGGTGATGATGATGCTGATGATGCTGATGCTGATGATGCTGATGATGATAATGATGATGTTAATGATAATCATGGCGATGATGATGCTGATGATTCTGATGATGATGATGATGATTCTGATGATGCTGTTGATGATGCTGTTGATGTTGCTGATGATGCTGCTGACGCTGATGATCTTGATGCTGCTGACGATGATGCTGCTGCCGTTGATGATGCTGATCTTTATGCTGCTGATGATGATGATGATGTTGACGCTGCTGATTGTGATGCTCATGATGCTGCTGATGATGATGATGCTTCTGCTGATGCTGATGATGATGCTAACGGAATCGATGCTGATGATGCTGCCGATGAAGATGATGATGATGCTAACGCTGATGCTGCTGCTGATAATGATGCTGACGATAATGCTGATGATGCTGGTGCTGATGCTGATGACGGTGCTGATGATGATGATGATGATGCTGATGCTGATACTGCAAAAGGTGATGATGATGCTGATGCTGATGATGATGCTGATGATGCTGATGATGATGCTGATGATGCTGCTGCTGATGATGCTGATGCCGATGTTGATGATATCATGATTTTGATGATGATTATGATTATGATGCTGACGATGAGGCTGCTGCTTCTGATGATGCTGGCAATGATGATGACGAGAATGATGTTGCTTCTGATGCAAATTATGATGATGATTATGATCATGATGATGATGTTGACGATGATTATACTGATGATGATACTGATGCTGATGATGATGCTGATGCTGCTGCTGCTGATGATGATGATGATGATGATGATGATGGTGCTGATGATGGTGCTGATGCTGATGATGATTATGTTGTTGATGAGGATGCTGCTGATGATGATGATGCTGATGATGATGATGATGATGACGGAGGGGAGGCAGGCACACGGGCCCCAGGGTCCCCAGGCTCCTAACCAGCCACGCCCACGGACTCAGAAGCATCCGCAGGCGCCGCTCTGATCGGATCAGGATGGGCGACAGGGGTGGCCTTCTGAAGTCTGCCCTCAGGGCCGAAGTCCATATTGGCACGGGGAGCCTGAAGCGCAGACGGATTTCCTTGTTTTCTTGAGCCACTGGTGATATGCTTGTCAGTTTGAGTTGAACGAGACTGGGCAAGGCACCTGCTACACACCAAATGACCAGGACGCAAACTCCCCAACTCGTGTTCCTGAAACCCGGGACGCCTGTTGGGAAGGGCCCCCTCACAGGGCCAGGGGTCTTTCATTCACGACCACGAGCATATATGTGGAAATCACTTTGCTCCCTGGACGCAGCAATCTGAGCACTCGCTCACTCGACTAACTTGGCACGCCTCTTATACATGTTCAGCTTCTCGGCTGCATCTTCGACCATGGCGTCCGCCACTTTATGATCGTTGGCCCCCAAACAAGCACAATGATCGGCCCAGTTATTGCCCAACTGCCAGTGAGGAGGCTTATCAGGATAAGCCAAAGCATAGATGGTGCACCTGGAGGGGATCAGTCCCTTACGTGACGGGCACCCGCATCAGGTGCACCAAGCCTGCTGACCGAGTGCATCTGCATGCAGGGCCAACGCCCTAATTACAGCCATCCCTACAGAGTCCCACCAGAGACAGAAGGGCCTCAGGGGGCCCAAAAGAAGTCACCGAGAGGCCATCTTGGGTCCCTTGTGGTGCCCTCTTTGGCCCCTCTTGGGGCCTCTGTGGGCTCTCTGGTGGGCTCCTCGGGTCCCCTCTTGGGGGCTTCTTGGGCCTCCTCTTGGGGCCTCAAAGCTTTCCTGCGCGGCCCACCCAAAGAGCCCGGCCATGGGGCACTCCTGGGTGTCAGATGTGGTTCGCCTTCATTGCACAGGCTTGGTTCAGGCTTGGCTCGAGCTCACGATTTTTATAACCGAAGGGCACCACATGCAACCTGCCCAACTAGAAGTGGAGATTGCGCCGTGGCCTCCCCTCTGCTGAGAGGCCTTACACAGATCAAGTCCATCTACCGCCCAAAGGGCTGTCCCACGACTTTGAAGCGCACCAAACCATCGGTTGAAAGTTGTTCTGCTACCTCTGTGTTGGGCGTGCCGGCCCATCCGTTATCGCCGCGCTCAGGCAGAGAGGCAGGGATAGTGACGAAGCGTGTGTGCGAAACGCTCGGCATCTATGTTTCTAAACATGGCCCCTATTGGGTCTAGCGTGGGCCCATCGTGGAGGCTCCTTGTGTGTGATGCGGGTGGCCTCGCGAAGGGCTAAACCTCCCAACGGCATGGGCTGGTCGCGAAAGTCGTGACCTCTGTGTGGCCACCTTGAGGAGTTTGGCAACGCATGGACGGCCACAACCCCAGCATGATGATGGCAACGCATGGTGGGCCACAGCCCGAGCATGAGCATGACAACGCACGTGAGGTCAACACCAGCTGGCAATGCACGATGAGTTACAACCCCAGGGTCGATAGCGGATGGGCCAGCACTCCCAAGTCCGCCTTCGGGGCCTGAGGCGGATTTTGGAACAGCGTTCCAAAATCCGCCGCTGGAGCAAAGATACTGCATGAGGGGCCAAAACCCCAGCATGGGAATGGCAATGCACGAGGGGCCACAGCCCCTGCATGAGCGTGGCGGTGCACGTGGGGTGAACACTCCACTTGGCAACGCATGAGGGGCCAGAGCCCTAAGCCGATAGTGGATGAGCCAGCACGCCCAATTCCGCCTTTGGAGCCCGAAGGTTGATTCTGGAGCGGTGATCCAAAACCAGCCGCTGGAGCACAACACCCCCAGCATGAGTACGGCAATGCATGAGGGGCCACCGCCCATTACTATGGTAACGCAAACCATCAGCAACAAGGGAGCTGAGTCCAAGTCGCGCCCGCCAGTGGGTCCAGAATTGGTCCAGCCCCTCTGGCCCTGCGGATCGGTACACCAAAAAGACAAACTCAAATTGGTCCCCAGAATCGAAATTGGTATCGCAAGCCACGAATATGGTCAGATTTCTCAGCAGCAATTTACTCAAAATGGTCCCTCCGCGCCCTGCCCAGATGAGGGCCTCGCGAAGGCCCCAGGGGATCATGTGAAAATGGATTGGCTGGCACGCCGAGCTGAAATTCCCAGCTTTGGTGCAGAGGCAGCCCGAATGTCGCGGAAGAGTAATGCATTGTTATGTTGGGGTGTTGACAATCAGCACCTTTTCGCTTGAGCCAAATTGGCGTTGCGGGTCACCGTTGGCACTGCGCAGCGTCGTCTACACACGTGGTGGGAAACATGGTTTTTAGCACAGAGCTAGCGCACTCATGCACAGCGTCTTTTACCCCACTTAGTGGGATTGATGGCTGTTTAGCGCAGAGCTAACCTACTCATGTTTCATGAACCTGTTGGTGCAGACCTCTCGCCGAATTTCATCAGAGAGGAGATACTTGTCGGGACCGGCACGATGATCTTTTTTCCCCACGGCGACGACGAGTGTCGAATCGCATCCCTTTGAGGGTGTCCGGCTGCAGGTCCACCCCCTTTTTGATTGGTTCTCGCTAGGGGCTGCAATGCGAGGCACTCAGAAACTAGTGTGGCCGCGAGAGGGATAGACAGTCCCGCCTCTTCCCCGATACATTATTCTCTGCCGTTTCTTATGTCCTCCCTTCCCCACGACACCCTTCTCAGTGAGTTCTTTATAGGTAGATATCTTCGACAACGTCTATAGGGACCACTTCTTCCAGCACCTGCGCGTTCCCTGTCTTGTGTGACGGGTGCTGGCCGTTACGAATTCTGTTCAAATTCGCCCTCGTGTGAGCGCTGGGGACGAGGAGGACGAGGAGGAGGAGGAGGAGGAGGAAGAGCAGGAGGAGGAGGAGGAGGAGGAGGAGGAGGAGGAGGAGGAGGAGGGGGGGAGGAGGAGGAAGAGGAAAAGGAGGAGTAGGAGTAGGAGTAGGAGGAGGAGCAGGAGCAGGAGGAGGAGGAGGAGGAGGAGAGGGGGGATGAGGTGGAGGATGAGGAGGAATGTAAGACGAGCTCGAAGACGACGAATCGTAATATGAAGACGCATATTATCACGAACTATAAGAATAATAAACAAATGAAGAAGATACATCTTACAAATAATGTGATTCATGGGAGGACTGCATAATACTAATACGATGAGGAAGACGATGGCGAATAATGCTACTAATAACATAAGAAGACGAATGAACATGACTCTACTACCAGTAACGCGACACATAATGATGATCTTGCTAGCCGTATAATGATACACGTAATAATATCACCAAGTTATAAGACAAATAAGACGCATAATAAACAAACCATGATAGTACGAACAATATCATTGTGATAGGAAGTAGAAGAAGAGGAGGATGTGGAGGAGGACGAGGAGGGGGAGGTGGAGTGCCCAGGCTCCAGCCGCGATGACCGCCCCCGCGCCGACCTACGTCACAG